ATAGAGCATCAGCCTGCGGACTGAAGGGTCCCAGGTTCAATTCTGGTCAAGGGCACATGCCTGGGTTGCAGGCTTGATCCCCAGTAGGGGATGTGCAGGAGGCAGCCAATCAATGATTCTCTCATCATTAATGTTTCCTTCTGTATTGTTTTATCTGGGAAACTGTGTTATAGGAGAAACTCCAAAGTGGGTATCAGTGAGTTCACCTGACCTATAAAAATGGAAACTAAAGCCGAAACCGGTTTGGCTCAGTGGATAGAGCGTCGGCCTGCGGACTGAAGGGTCTCAGGTTCGATTCCGGTCAAGGGCATGTACCTGGGTTGCGGGCACATCCCCAGTAGGAGATGTACAGGAGGCAGCTGATCGATGTTTCTCTCTCATCGATGTTTCTAACTCTCTATCCCTCTCCCTTCCTCTCTGTAAAAAATCAATAAAATATATTTTTTAAAAAAAATGGAAACTAAAAATAGTTGAGGATGGCTGGGAGGGTGACAAGGAGCCTCTGTAAAACAAATCATGTCTGTAGGCCAAAAGGAAGTTCTGCATGTTGAGAAATGAGTTTAGATTTCTTGTAAAGAGAATAATGTCCCTCCCTCCCCATTCCAATTCTAAACAATCTACACATAATTTCAAATATTCTAATAAAGAGAAATGTTGACACAGGTAATTATTATTCGTCTCCAATTGCTGAATTATGTAAAATAACAGACAGGTGGATTAGATAAAATAAAGAAATGAATGGTAAGATCTTTGTGGCTTCTCAAGGAGTGCCTTGCTGCCCTTTATTTTACTTTCCAGTTATCTACAGTGAACCCCAAACTGGTCAGAAATGAGGTCAGTCTCAGCACAGAAGTAGTTACTCCCCCATCCCAGAGCTCACCTGTCTCATGCTGTAGGCAAAGAGGAAGCCCATGTTGTACTGAACTTCCCGAAGCAAAGACACTGTCTGGAGGTGATCTTCCTCTGTCTCACCACAAAAGCCAGCAATGAAATCACTGCTGAGGCTCACACCTGTGACACACAACCAAGGACAAAGGACAGCTGCTTACTTTCAAGAGAGGCTTTTGGAACTTGCAGGCTACAGAGGGAGGGACAGCAATTGTAAGGGCTTTCCTGGAGCTATTCAGCCCATGTGCCAGTGTCATCAGGTCACTGCAGAGCGAGGAGGGAATAGGCCTGCTTAGCTACAATGTGCCCGTGCCAGAGCCTGGCTTCTCAGTCTACATTCCCCTCAGTACTAGAAAAGGTATTTTCACTTCAAATGTGGGATTTAGGAGCACAGTAGGAGTCCACATTCTCATATTGGTCCTGCTTTGTACTTATATCTGGTAAAAACATTGCAGTGCCCCATATAAATATACTTTTGAAGTTAGTTTAACACAATGCTCATTTAAAATAGTAACAATGACTACTATTTACTGAATACTTACTAAGTGCTACACATTACTATCTATTTAACTTAACCTATTTAATTACCCCAAAATCCAATGAGGTGAGTAGTATTTATTGCATTTTATAGATGAGAAAACTGCAGTCCAGAGAACTTCCACACCATCCTGTCCCATCAAAATGAAAGTATTTATGCATAATACAAGTTACAATCATTAGAAATTTGGACAAAATGTAGACATTATCAACCAAATCTAAAGTAAAAGACTACAGAGTAATTTTATTAGGAGGAAAGAAAAAGGGTTAAGATAAATAGGAAAAGAATAACCTCTAAGTACACATTTTTAAAGATATCAATTGCCCCCAATCAGAACTAATTCAGACCATATATAACTTTGCCAACTAACAAGAAAAAACAAGGTCTCTCCCATATGCTCAGAAACACAAAAACTATAGAAAATGAATCTCTTTAGCCTTGAGGCCATAAGCTGATCCACATCTCTGAGTATTTCTAGCAAGACCAAAACATTAAACAATCAGAAAGAAGTAAAAGAGAGAAAGAGCCCTGGCTGGTGTGACTCAGTTGGTTGGAGCATTGTCCCATACACCAAAAGGTCGTGGGTTTGATTTCTGGTCAGGGCACATACCTGAGTTGCAGGTTCGGTCCCCAGTTGGGGTGCATATGAGAGACAACCAATTGATGTTTCTCTCTCATATCAATGTTTCTCTTTCTCTCTCTCCCCCTTCTTCTAAAAGACAGAGAGAGAGAGAGAGAGAGAGAGAGAAATGAAGAGAAGCAAAATAAGTGTAAAAGGTGTCACAAGGTACTGCCACAGGTGTTGCCTGTATCTAAGACTGTGGTCACTGTAATGTGCTCAGTAGAATACATTTCTTAAATGTACCTGGAATAGACTCCCTGATATGATGAATTAACTCCACATAAGCTTCTCTTGAATACCTGCAATAAAGAACAGAAAGAAAAGACTTAGATGAGCCAATCTTCTTTAAATGAATGCTGTAAAAGGATAACACTATGAACTACCACATGTAATCACTTCTCACCCACACAGGACAGTACCATCAGTTAAACTATCCAAAAGATCTTATGATCCAAAACTTACACTGTAACCTAATTTAGGGCCTATGAATGTTTAGTTCAAGAACATAAATTATTTTAAATAGCCTTCTGCATTTAACTAATAATGAAGATAGACTAAACATTTCAAAGGATCTAGATCAGCCGTGGGCAAACTACGGCCCGCGGGCCGGATCCGGCCCGTTTGAAATGAATAAAACTAAAAAAAAAAAAGACCGTACCCTTTTATGTAATGATGTTTACTTTGAATTTATATTAGTTCACACAAACACTCCATCCATGCTTTTGTTCCGGCCCTCCGGTCCAGTTTAAGAACCCATTGTGGCCCTCGAGTCAAAAAGTTTGCCCACCCCTGATCTAGATGATTTTATATGCTCTCTGGTTCCAAGATGATGGCCAGAGGGATATCAAGATCACCAAGAATAATTTGGAGGTTGCCAAGGACTTGTTTAACAGTGTTTTCAAGTCTGCCTGAGAACTCTGACCTTAGAGGCCAATTAAAAATAAATAAAAAATCTCTAAAAGTCTTTGCCAATGTCAAAAACACTAGTTCCATACAGTTTGCCATCGGTCACATTCTCCTTTCAGTCTTATCTCTGCAATATTTATTATCCCCAAAGTAAGTGAACACATAGGGATATACTAAATTCCAAGACCTAAAAAACCTTCATGTTAAAATCTCAGTGTGCCACATGGTAGGTGCTTAATAAAAAAATATGCTAAGCAAATGAAATGAGTGATCCAGTCTTTAGTCTAAACATTCTTAGTGAACAAAAGCAAATTACAATGTCCCTGGGTTTATTCATATAACAAATATTTATTGAGCAGTTACTATGTGCCACACACTATGCTAGAATTTTAGACACTGTTTGCTCCTAAAGGAGACATTGAAAAGCTGTACCCCCTTCGCATGGCTTCCAATACACGGCTACTTCCACTCTGGGCTGGTAGGTGGATCTGTTTACAGATGTTGTCTCTCTCATGAATCAGCTGCAGAACCTGGTCAAATAGAACACATTAGTCATCAAAGTCTCACCAAAGAATCTTACAGAAAGGAATACCCACCCCTCTGTTCTTTGCCAAAGTTAATTTTCAAGTAATTAAGACGCTAATTAAACCAAACACATGAATTACCCAAATGCTCTACTTTTGCTCAAACCATGTTCTGTCTGTCACAGACAGAAATGCTTAAGAATACTGATAGCAGTTTGGCACAGTTAACTGTCAATATTTACCTCATCAGGAAAATCCTTGGGGTGGGGAGAGGTAAAACGAATCCTCATTTCAGGATCTATTCTGGAGACCTGATCCAGAAGGTGAGCAAAACGAAGGCCCCCTTGCTTGGTTTTATAGTTGGTGGAGAAGCCACGGCTGAGGTTGGTGGACACTGCATTGTTGAACTGGACCTCTGAATTGTCCCGATAACTATTAACATTCTGACCAAGTAGTGTCACTTCTTTCAGCCCCTGAAAAGCGGGAAATAAATATTTTGGGAGCAATTTAAAATAGTTTGGTAGCTGCATGCCAAATCACTAACTAAAATTAGCTGTGTCATAATGTTAACTTTAAAGAACAGGATACACTAAAAGCAATGTGGATCCTGGATTGGATCCTGAAAAAGAAAAATGACATTAGTAGGGAAAGTGGCAAAATCAGGAAAAAAGTCTAAAGTTAGTTAATAGTAACGTACCATATTTGGTACATTTTAGTTTTGACAAACGCACCAAAGTTAAGTAAGATGTTAACATTAAGAGGTAACTTGATCTTTGCAACTTTTGTGTAAATTTAAAGTTATTCCAAAACTTTATTTTAAAAAGTTTATTAAAACATACAAAGCAGAATATAAAACTAAGTAAAATGCACACACATATAAAAAGACATAACAATCAAATGCAAAGAGTTACGGGACAATTAAGAAAATCTGAGTATGAGTGGGCTAGGATTAGGATGATATTTAGCAATTTTTGTTAATCTCATTAGAAGAATTAATGGTAATGAAAATTTCCTTATTTTTTAGAGATGTATTAACTTAAGGGTGAAATGTCATGCTATACTTTGAAATACTTTATCAACAACAACAAAAAATAGATAAGGCAATTATGGCAAAATGTAACAATTAAGTGAACCCTGGCCAGGTGACTCAGTTTGTTGGAGCCTCATCCCATGCATCAAAAGGTTGTGGGTTCGGTCAGGGCTCACTTAAATACCTAGGTTTCAGGCTCAATCCCCGGTTGGGGGGCATACAGGAGGCAACTGATTTATGTACATTGATGGTTTTTTTCTCTCTTTCCCCCCTTCCTCTCTCTCTAAAATCAATAAAAACATATCCTCAGGTGAGGATTTTTTTTTAAAAATTTAAGTGACTGTTGGCTAGGGAAAAGGGGCCACAATACTATTCTCTCTTTCCTGTGTACATTTTTTTCATATAAAAAGATAATAAAGAGGCTTAAAAAAGGCTGCTTACTTAAATGACTTCCAATCAATAACCATTGTGTGAATGAATAGACAGCATTCTGTTAAAGGAAAATATTCTATTCTCTGTAACTGTAGTCTAAAAAACCTAAACGAAAGAAACATCTTTCAAAAGTTACTCTAGGCCTGGCCAGTTTGTTCAGTGGTTAGAGCACCAGCCCGAGAACCAAAGGGTCTCAGGTTCGATTCTCAGTCAAGGGCACATGTCTCAGTTACAGGTTTGATCCCCAGTCAGGGCATGTGGGGGAGGCAACCAATCGATGGCTCTCTCTCTCTCTCTCTCTCTCTCTCTGTCTCTCTCTCTCTCCCCCTCATTCCTCCCTTCCACTCTCTCAAAAAAAAAAAATCAATGGGAAAAATATCCTCGGGTGTGAATCAAAAACAAAACAAAACACTCTATAAGTAAAATAAATAAGTGATTAACAGATCCTTTAAAACACAATGCAGAATCATAGTTTTTCACAAGTTAGTGGGCTCTGAGTTCACTAAGGTTCACTTTAATGTTAAGTTCCTTTTGTTATATGCAAATACCTTAGAAAGGTTAGGGAGTTTTTATCATCACCTCAGTTTACTTAAACAGAATTTCGCTATCTTGAGAGAGTGAGTTTTGGTACTGTGGAGTAGATGGAAGAGGAGAGGAAGGAGACAACTTTAGACCAGGAAGCACTTGTAGAGGTAGTGTATGGGGAATACCTCACAGTACCTATGTGAGCAGTCAGGGAACAAACTACGAAAACTGGGAATTAGGGGATGGGGGGGAAAAGAGAGCACTGCCAGAGAGTAAGAAAGCAAGCAAACTGCTGACTTAGAACTGGAGGAGGGGCTAGCCTCCCTGTCCTGAACCAACCACGTCAGGAAACAGAGACTCCAGAAGAAAAACTCCACATTCCCACCTCCTGTCCTATCCTGCACAGCTGGAAGATTTGTGCCTAGGGTTGAGGAGAGACCTCCTCAAGGGCTGAGGGACCAGCTCCCAATAGGAGGAAGGCAGTAGGTACCTTCTGTCTAGCCTCTGATCTGATTCACTAGCCTCATCTATTCTCTGCAAGCTGGCCCAGTGATAAAATGAACAAAAGATATGGGAGGTTTCCCTAGAATAGACAAATCAATAAATCATTCTGTAAAAAATTACTATTGCCAGGTAGTTTAAAAACATTTAAACTACCATATCCTTCCAATAGCAATCCTTCCAATAATCTGGCAAGAAAGATATTATTTTATCCTCTTTCATAGATAGGGACACTGTTTCGAAGAAGGTAGTTAAATGACCAGTGCCCAGGCACCGAGCCAGAGAACGGTGGAGTCAGAATTCATACTTAATCCTCTGATTCTACACTCATGCTCTCATACGCTCTCCAATCTTCTGTGTTGACTCCTAAGCAAACTTCACAGTGGATCTGCCTGTAATTTGTGGCATCAATGTGGCATGTATTTCTTTCTGGCCAGGTACCGTTTTAAACTTGTACAGCTTAAAAATAGCACAGGCTGCAAAACTAGAAAGTTGTCCTCATCCTCCCATAAACATACTCTCAGTAAGGAAGCCTGGAGAACTTTTCACCTGCTCGGAAAGCTTTCTCACTTCCTCTAGAATGGAGGCAACAGGCCGACTCCTCTCCCGGCCTCGCGTGAAAGGAACAATGCAGTAGCTGCACATGTTGTCACAGCCTCTCATGATAGACCTGGAGGGAAAAGAACAGAACTTAGTAACAGCAGCAGGATGTCTTGGTCCAACCCAAGGAGCAGGTCACGATTCCCTTGGTATTATCCTTTGGCTCTAAATTCTCTTGACAAGGTACTCACGCTGGACCAATATGAGATCTAAGAAAAACTAAGGCAGATATTTTTTGATCTTTAAAAACTATTCTTTGCCCTAGCTGGTTTGGCTCAGCGGATAGAGCGTCGGCCTGCGGACTCAAGGGTCCCAGGTTCGATTCCGGTCAAGGGCATGTACCTGGGTTGCGGGCACATCCCCAGTAGGGGGCGTGCAAGAGGCAGCTGAATCGATGTTTCTCACTCATCGATGTTTCTGATTCGCTATCCCTCTCCCTTCCTCTCTGTAAAAAAAATCAATAAAATATATTTTTAAAAATAAATAAATAAATAAATAAATAAAATAAAAACTATTCTTTAACCCCAGGATATAAACCAAACCATAACTGGTGGATATAGTGATTACCCTGAGTGGTGAAGGAATGGGTGAAGACATACCACACTTGGGCTTGCTACTGTTTATATTTACATATTATTTGAACTTTCCACTTCTAGGCCAGAAAAATAAATAAATGTTATAAAATATATATAAGGAGCAGAGACACTGGATTTAAAATACAGGGGTCTGCAGCCCTGGCCAGGTAGCTCAGTTGGTTGGAGCATCATCCCACACAACAAAAGGTTGTGGGTTCAATCCCCAGCCAGGGCGAGTGTGGGAGGCAACCAATAATGTTTCTCTCTCATCTCAATGTTTCTCTCCTCTCTCTCTCTCTCCTCCCCCCACCCCTCAAAAAAAAAATCACTAAAAAGATATCCTTAAAAATAGGATTTTTAAACATAGGATTAAAAATAAAATAAAACATAGGGGTCTGAATTTCTCACATTCCTGGTCCAAATGCTAGGTATCTAAGTTAAGTCACTTTCTTTCATTTGCATCTTGTATACATGAAAGCCTCAATTTATTGTAAGGAAATAATTACCCTAATATGTATCAAAGATGTTCATTGAAGAATTGTTAAATAAATGTTAGCTATTATTTTTATTAAGCATTCTAACAGAGTATTGTCTAGCCATTAAAATGAAAATGGTTGGCAAACTTTTTCTGCAAAAAAATGATATAGTAAATATTTTAGGCTTTGCATACAATCTCTGCCACATACTCAATTCTGCTGCTGCAGTGGTGAAAGCAGCCACACGCTATGTAAACAAATGGGCACAGCTGTTATTTCAATAAAACTTTATTTACTAAAACAGGCTGTAAGCCAATTTGCTAATCTCTGTTAGAGAAAATATAATGACATAAGAAATGTTCACCACTTTAAATAACAAAAGGTTATAAAACTGCCTGGCAGGCATGGCTCAGTGGTTGAACATAGACCTATGAACCAGGAGGTCATGGTTCGATTCCCAGTTGGGGCACATGCCTGGGTTGCAGGCTGGATCCCCAGTGTGGGCATGCAGGAAGCAGCCAATCAACGATTCTTTCTCATCATTGATCTTTCTCTCTCTCTCTCCCTCTCCTTCCCTCTCTGAAATCAATAAAAATATTTTTTTAAGTTATAAAACAAATTACACAAAGAGCTATTTTTTTTATAAACAAACACATACACAAAGCATACACACATAAGCACTAAGGACAGGGCAGCAATGATATACACCAAAATGATAATAATAGTGTTTATCATTAGGTGGTAGAGGTAGAGTTAATTCTTACTTTCTTCTTTATGTTTTTCTATCTTTTCCACATTTTCTTCAACAAATATAAACTATTTTGTCAATTACTTTTTTAACTTTAAAGATCAGGGAAGAGAAAAAAAGAATCAGGAAAGCCTATGTGATGAAATAAAAGTATAGGAAGGAGGGTAGAAAAGACCTCATTTTATGTATATAAATACATATGCGAAAAACACTTCTAGCTCTAGCTGGTTTGACTCAGTTGATAGAGAGTCAGCCTGCAGTCTGAAGGGTCCTGGGTAAGATTCCAGTCAACAGCACATACCGGTTGCAGTTTGATCCCCAGCCCTGGTTGGGGCACATGCAGGAGACAACCAATCGATGTGTCTCTCTCATATCAATGTTTCTCTCTGTCTCTCTTCCTCCTTTCCACTCTCTAAAAATCAATGCAAAAATATCCTCAGGTGAAGATTAACCAAAAAAAAAAAAAAACCCCACTTCTCAAAGGATTATACAAGAAACAACTAGCATGCCACCTCTGCGATGTGGCCTAGGAGGCTGGAGATGATAGGTGTGAGGAAGTCTTATACATCATTTTTTTGTCTTTTGTACTGTGTGCATGCACTACATTTTTTTAATGTTTTCATTAATTTTTTAGAGACAGAGAAAGGGAGAGGGAGAGAGAGAAACATTGATTGGCTGCCTCCTGCACACCTTCTCCTGGGGATCAAGCTTGCAACATGGGTATGTGCCCTGACTGGGAATTGAACCAGCGACCTCTTAGTGCATGGGATGACACGCAACCAATTGAGCCACACCAGCCAGAGCTTAATTTTTTTAATGTAATAACATTAACATGTTATTTTTATTTATTTTTTTATCCTCACCCGAGGATATTTTTCCATTGATTTTTTTAGAGAGAGTAGAACATAGAGAGAACAATAAAGAAAAACATCGATGGGAGAGAAACACATTGATTGGTTGCTTCCTGCACAAGCCCCAACCAGGGCCTTTGCCAGAGAGGAGCCTGCAACCAAGGTACATGACCTTGACCGGAATCAAACCTGGGTCCCTTTGGTCCATAGGCCGGTGCTCTATCCACTGAGCCAAACTGGCTAGGGCAACACGTTATTTTCAAAGTGAGAAAGAAGTTTACTCCCTGTCTCTTGGTCGGTGACTCACACAAAAGCAGAAGTAGCACTGGGGCTCGTCTGGACTGGCATGACATCAGCATAGGTCTCATCCAGAGAAAGCAGCACATTGGCAGCTTGCTGGCCTGACTCAGCAACAGTCAGCAGCCGAGGAAGGTCCCGATAGGCATCTGGACCAGCCAAAATATCCACCATTTTCTCCCTATTGAGGATCTCCTCCTTCAGTCTCTCAGCCATGCAACCTGGGAGGGAAAAGAAATAAGCACCTGTTCCCAAATGCTTTGGGTCTCCTGGCTTCTCGCCACACATTATCTCCAGCTGGATTGGAGGCCAGGGCACAGGAACTTCTCCAAGACTTTAGCATCATCCCTCATATTGGCCCAAACATTTGCATAGCACTGGAACCTGCTTCTTCCACAGGGAAAGGGCTCAAGAGCAATTCAAGTAAATGCCCAGAAAAAAACTAAATCACCATTCAAACACCTTTCTAAACATGAACCACCTCTTTTTTTCATTGAAAACTACTTGCTGTTACAAATAAAAACATTTTGCATCAGAAATTTATTTTTAAAAATAAAGCTTAGCCCAGTTGGCATGGCTCAGTGATTGAGCATTGAACTATGAACCAGGAGGTCACGGTTCGATTCCCAGTCAGGGCACATGCCTGGGTTGCAGGCTCGATCCCCAATGGGGGCATGCAGGAGGCAGCCGATCAATGATTCTCTCTCATCGTTGATGTTTCTATCTCTCTCTCCCTCTCCATTCCTCCCTGAAATCAATAAAAATATATTTTTTTAAAAAATAAAGCTTAATATACATTTCTACCCTTTTTATCCCTCTTCCTGCCCATAATACTTGATACTGGTAAAACCTCTAAGAAATTAGTTAGCCATCTATGCTGATATCTTCCATATGCTAAAAAACCATTGTTATTAATAAGACTATCAAATTAATAAAAAGTCAATTTTATAACAAACACCCTTTGAAAATACTTGTTTAAGAACTATTCTTGCCCTGGCCGGTGTGGTTTAGTTGGTTGGACATCATCCCACGCTCGGAAAAAGTTGCCAGTTCCATTCCAGGTCAGGGCACATGCCCAGGTTGCAGGCTCAATCCCCGGTAGGGGGCATGCAGGAGGCACCCGATGGATATTTCACTGTCACATCGATGTTTCTCTCTCTCTTTCTCCCTCTCCCTTCCTCTCTAAAAAATTTTTTTAATCTTTTAAAGAACTATTCTTGGTTGTACACCCATGTTCATAGCAGTATCATTCACAACAGCCAAAAGGTAAAAGCAACCCAAGTGTCCATCAATGGATGTGGTATAAACATACAATAGAATATTATTCAGCCTTACAAAGAAAGAAATTCTGACACATAATTAAAGGCATTATTCTGAGTGAAATAAGTCAGTCTCAAAAAGATAAAATTATATTATTCTAATTACGTGAGGTACCTAGTCAAATTCATAGAGGCAGAAAGTAGAATGGTGGCTGCCAGGGACTGAGGTGAGGAGGGAATGGCAAGTTATTGTTTAATGGATATAGAGTCTCAGTTTGGGAAGAGGAAAAAGTTCTGAAACTGATGGTGGTGATAGTTGCACAACAATGTGAATGTATTTAATGCCACTGAACTGTACATTTAAAAAGGGTTAAAATGGTAAACTTTGTGTTACATATTTTTACCATTTTGAAAAAAACCTCTTTGGGGGATTTCTAAAATTCCAATATTTACCCAGGGATTTCTATAATGAAGGAATTGAAATGAAACAAAACATTTCCGCTAATTCTTCCATCTTCCTGTATCACTTAACACATTAATCTATGTAACAGAATATGTTCCAACTGTGTTTTGAACCATCAAGAGGAATTTTACTATTCTACAAGGGACACAGTCTGTTTTAAGGTTACATACATTAACTAAATTCTAGAAACAAGAGGGTACAGAACCTTTATTTTTGAAATATGCTTCCAAACTATCTAGATGAGAGCTGTCCAACAGAATTTCTAAGACGATAGAAATGTTCTTTATCTGTGCTGTTCAAACTGGTAGCCAGTGGCTACTGAGCAGTCACTATGTGGCTAGTGAGACTAAAGAAGTAAAATTGTAGTATTATTTAAGTTTAATTAAATTTAAATAACCACATGTGGCTACTGGCTATTGTATTGGTCAACACAGATCTGGATCTTCACTTGAGCATGCTTCAGGAGTCAAGATGAAATGTGCCTACACTGTAAATTTATGCTTGCAGCCCCTCAGACTCCCAACGCTCTCCTATCTGTAACTCTGTCACCATGAGCCACATTAGACTCCAGGAAGAATAGACCACTTTCTGAGTACCTATTACTTCAAAGCATTATAAAAAGCCATTTTATGAGCTTTATCTCATTTAATCCTACAGCCTCTGATATTAAGTACAAGAGTTGCATGAGGTATATAAGATTTCTTCACACACTGGGAATCTGGCCTCTAAGAGAAACCCTAGTACATAAAGCTACATGGAGCCCAAGTCTCAAAACCCACAAAATCTGCAAATTGCCAGATACCTAGAATCCCAATCTTCAGAGGCACTCGGGAACGGAGCCGTTTTGTCTTCAGGGCTTTAAGCTGATGTAGACGATTCCAGATGGTTTGTTCAGCCTTCTCCCTGCAGAGATCAAGAGGTAGACTTAAGCTTGCGAATAAACTACACAGCAATCTAAAAGCGTAGGACAATGGGAATAAATAAAAACCTTCAACTCTTTAAATCAGTGATTCCCAAAGTGGGCGCTACCGCCCCCTGGTAGGCGCTGCAGCGATCCAGGGGGGCAGTGATGGCCACAGGTGCATTTGGGGGCGATGAGTAACTGCTATTAAAATTTTTAAAAAATTAATTTCCAGGGGCTGAGTAATATTTTTTCTGGAAAGGGGGCGGTAGGCCAAATAAGTTTGGGAACCACTGCTTTAAATGAATACCTAACCTGAAGGTTTAGGGAAGGTAGGCAGGGAGCCAATTGAAGAACCACCATTTGCTATAACATTCCTAGAATGATGCCCTTCCTGCCCATCTCCAAATCCTGACAAGCCTTTAAGCCAAACTCAGAAACAATCTATTTCACAAAGCCTTCCCCAACGCTACTGCTGGAGTGTTTATCCTCCTTCCTTTTAACTACTCTATCACTTTAACTATATTTTCCCAGTACTTAGCATTGATCCTTCCTGTTTTTTTCTTTTTTTACCTAGTGCTTTTCACCAGATGTTAGAGCTACTAATATATTTATCTTAGTTCCCATATGAGACTAAGCTCCTAGGCTTTATATGAAGGAAGAGTTCATTTCTGAATCTCCCAAAATACCTAGTTCTGCATCTTGTAACAGAGACAACCCTCTGAACAAAAATGTTGAATTAATTAATTGATAGTACACCCAGTTGAGAAAACATTAAGAATAACATGCCTTGTACAAAGAAACAAAGTATGAAAGATGGTATGTTCACCTCTAATGGATGCCACTCATCTGCATTCAGAAGAACTCTGTCCCCCAGCCACTGACTGCACCCTAACCATTACGATGTGAACAACATCATAAACATGTGCCATTAGCTACAAGAAAAACCTTGGGAAAAGTTGGGTGACTCAGCACACTCTCAGTTTCCTCATCTATATAATGAGTTTGATAACATCACCTAACCCACAGAGTTGTTGTGAGAATTAAATTACTTTAGTGCATGTATAGTGCTCAGCACAGTACCGGACAAACAGCACATGCTTAGCAAATGTCAACTAGTTCTATCATTACTGTCTCCAGGGTATAAAATTGCAAATCCATTGGCTCATCTCCACAGGTAGGACAGCCTGGCACCGTTAGCTCTGGCATCCTATATAATAAAAGGCTAATATGCAAATCGACCAAATGGTGGAACTACTGGTCGCTATGATGCACACTGACCACCAGGAGGCAGACGCTCAATGCAGGAGCTGCCCCCTGGTGGTCAGTGTGCTCCCCCTGAGCTGGGCTCACGGCTGAGCGCAGCAGTGGTAGTGGGAGCCTCTCCCACCTCCACGGCAGCGCTGAGGGCTAAGGATGTCCAACTGCCAGCTTAGGCCCACTCCCCACAGGGCGCAGGTTTAAGCCATCAGTCAGACATCTCCCGAGGGCTCCCAGACTGTGATAGGCGCAGGCTGGGCTGAGGAACCCCCCACCGAATTTCGTGCACTGGGCCTCTAGTTATTATATAAGATATATTCACTCTCTAGGTAAAGAACAAATTCCCACCTGATAGAGCAGGTGACAAGGAGGATCACATCAGCCTGAGTAAAGAGCAAGGGGAAAAAAGAAAATTATGAAATTAGCTTTATAGAATCACTGCCCATGACCCTTTTTTTTTCCTGCTTATAAACTTATATGGAAAATACACTTTTAAGGAAATGTAAAAATCTGAGTACTTCATCATCAGTGAAAATGAACTACCATTAACAGATATACAGTTTCTGGTTTTGGTGATAAAAAAGCTTTGGAATTAGTGGTCATGGTTGTACAACATTGTGAATATTATTAATGCCACTGCATTGTACATTTAAAAATAGTTAATTTATGCAAATGTCAATTCACTACATTATACACCTGAAACTAATATTATAATACTGCATGACAGCTATACTTTAAATTTTTTAAATGTTATCTTTTAAAAAAAGAAAGAAAATGAACTACATAGTAATGTCGTGATAACAGAGCTTATTATGAGCCAAAATCTGCCCTAGCCGGTTTGGCTCAGTGGATGGAGGTCTGTGGACTCAAGGGTCCCAGGTTTGATTCTGTTCAAGAGCACATGCCCAGGTTGTGGGCTCGGTCTCCAGTGGGGGCATGCAGGAGGCAGCCAATCAATGATTCCCTCTCATCATTGATGTTTCTATCTCTCTCTTCCTCTCCCTTCCTCTCTGAAATCAATATATATATATATAT